ATGCAACACTGCCAGCCAGCCAAGTTCATTGCTAGGGTAATGATATCAGCAGGGCAGGATTGCCTTGAGGTTAAAATCACTCATGGCTGTGTCTGCAAGGAGTGCGGGCAGGGTTACGCTTTCACTGGTACAGCCCGATTGCGTGGCTGGGAGGCTAAGACTGCTTCATCCAAGCTGACATTAATCAAGAGGACTCAGTATTTTCTGTTAATTACTTTATGTGCACTCAGTATAGGCCAGGCAGGCTGGGTTAGCCAATGCAAAATAAATCAAAGCTACGTGAAAAACCCAAGAGCAACATCTCAGCTGACAGAGTTCAGCTTGGAAGAGAGCTTTGTTCTTCCATTTAAATCAAACTGGCTGCTCAAGAGACCCCAGATATCGCACGCAGAAGCCCTTCCCATTACCCCTTTCCACACGCAAAGCCATGGAGCACGAGTGTTTTATCTAACGCAGGCGTGCTACACGCGTCTGCAGAGCATCACCTGCCACACGCCACCTTGCCTGGCCCCATGCCTGCTTTTTAGCCCGCCCTGGCTGCAAATCACAGCACGTGGGCATGGGCCACCTTTGTGGGCGCTGCGGCTGACACCCGTTTGGCTCACGCTGGGAGGCAGGGCAGAGGGACGGTGCTGTGCTCCCCGTCTGCAGCACCTCGGTGTGTCAGAGCCAGCGCCTCTCTCGTTAGCTGCGCCGTGCCGTCCCGCTGTGCTCCTGGCTGCGTAAGAAGCCGGGACCAAAATGTAGCTGTATCCTGAAGCCAGCTGCAGGTGCCGTCTGTATCTGAGGGTTAGCACTGTGGGCAGACAGACAGATAAAAAGGTTTCGGGGAGGAACAATGCGGTGTCTGATTCCGATCTCCGGCCCTTGCTCTAGGACTCCCCGACCAACAAACTCCTGTACGCCAAGGAGATCCCCGAGTACAGGAAGATAGTGCAGCGATACTACAAGCAAATCCACGACATGCCCCCGCTCAGCGAGCAGGAGATGAACGCCCACCTCGCCGAGGAGTCGCGGGTACGGGCGCACGGGGCTGCAGTGGGTGGAGGGGGGCTTGGCCAGGGCTGCAGAGGGTGGAGGGGGGCTCA